TCTTTCTTGCCTATTCCCTACTCCCATATCGCTTAACAGCGAACCTACTCCTTTGGACGCGAAGCCAGCTAGTCGTCTACTTTCACCGCTCCTGGCCCCAAGCAAAGACTTTTCCTACTCTTGACCTTAGTTACCCGACTGACCTTACTTTCCCTTCCCTGGCTCTGATACCGTCTTCCCTTTCTCTTCCTTCTCTGTCGGAGTGGCCAGAACCCACTCAATCTCCAACTAGCTCATTTCTCGATGAGAGGACCGCGAAATCTTCTTTGCCGGCTTCTTCCCGTTCTAATTCTAAGCTGGTTTCCAACCCCTACCTTATTAAGCCTTATTAAGGCGAACTATTCATGAAAGAAACTTCCTTTACTAAGCCTAAGTTTACCCGGCTTTGTGCTTACTTACCCGATTCGAGGACAGGTAGGATCTTGCATCCGATTTAAAGCAACTGCTTGCCCTTCTTCCCTATCGACAAAGAACTCCTTCACTTCATGCCTTTGATAGAACGGAGATGAGAATTAGGCTGCTGTTGAAAAGCGTCTGCTAGCGGAGTTAGTGAACTCTTTCTTGAGGAGCGGGTTCTATCCCCCGAGTAATGGGTTTAAGCATATACAAGGCAAAGGCCCCCTTCTCTTTCCTGGTATTCAAGATCAGATTCAAATCAAAGCTGTTCGTCCCCCTTCTCGACGTTCCCGGAGGGTGGCTCTTCACTTGGTGTTCACTATTCTAGGGTCTTGGCACTAACAATGGCACAGACTTTCACTTCGACTTAGTCCTCAGCTCGTGAATCTGGCTATCTAAATATATCCGGATTCCTTTCTGATGCGCCTTATGTTTCCAAAAGGTAAGACTTTCCCCTTCCTTTCTAGGTACGTGGGTGTTAGCCTGCCGGATATAACTCAATCAATGCGGTTCGTCCCCTTCCTCCAGCCCTTCCAGCGCTTCTGGATGACCCTTCGTACCCGTATTCAGAATTCTACCTCCGCGGATCTCCCCTCCTTCTCCGAAAGCTTTACGAATCAGACAGGGCTATTCCTTACTTTCACTTCAGAATCTGGTACTTCACCTGGGGTTAGGCTTTTCAACTGGGCCAAGGGGAGAATGAAAACTTTCACTTCGGAAGGAGGAATGGGCAAGTAGAGTTCCCACTGCAGCAGTTTCCGAATCAGGGATGTTAAATGACTTTTGTCTCAGAATTAGACCCATTTGTGACCCTTTTTGGAATAGTTGGGGCAGAAATGTAATAATAGGCTGCTCGATCTGCTGTTCCGGAAAGCAGCCCTTTCGCTCGTTCCCTTGGGGCTTTTGGGGGCCAACCTGTTCCATATGAGAGGAGCATAAGCCCCCCGTGTTCGCAAACTCTCATGTAAGGGACCTACTTTCCTTCACACTATACCTTCCGGAGTGCTTATGGAATATCCTGTTGAGTGGGTTTGATGCTAATAAAACAGGAAGGACCGGGTCTGAAAGTGCAAGACTAGCTGGACCCGGACTGACTAATCGCTAAGAGCCCACCCCGAGTGGGATAACTCTAAGTACGGCATTCAGTAAGAAGTAAGCCAAGTAACAAATAGACTATCTACAACCTCTTCTTTCATTTGTCCTGACAACTGTTCTGAAAGAAAAGAATAAGTGCAACCTAAGACGTTTTTTTTCGCGACAAGAGCGGTTATGTAGCATCAACAGGAAAGTGATTTGGCAGTTGCTTTAGCAGCTCCTTCTCTAAGACCGTCTTCAATAGCAGCGCTTATTCCAACAAGACCAGCAAGAGCGGATACTCACCTAAGAGCAGAAATGCCGACATCTTTCCACGTTCAAGCAACTAATCAGTAAACGACTTCTCCGTCACTTCTTCTTATACCCTTCGTGCCCCATAGCTGCCATAGTGAGATATGAAAGTGATCCCTCTTATCCCCTATGCCCCTTTGTTAGAGAATTAGACTGAACGGTAAATCAGTCAAGACTTCCTTACTAAGCTTTTAGTAAAGTGTAAGGTAGGCTAGGCCTTCCCCATAAAAGATCTCTCCTCTTCCGGTGTCAACGCCACTCCTTTTCGCGGGGTATAAGGAGAAATTTCGTTCTCATGGCCCATGTCGAAGGGAATAGAATGACAATCCCTTAGGTCTCTGCCGATGCTGCTAAGAAGCGCAGGGTTTTCATTAAATTCATAGATGTTATTAGCTTCTTCAATAGATAAGAGATCTATCATGCTTATTCGGGAAACGTAAGGAAAGTCTTCAAAATAAGGATTTCGAATGCTTTCTCCCGGTTTTAATGAAATTTCACATAAGAGAGAAAATTCTTCCCATTTTGATTGCTGTCTTCCGAGTAAGAAAGCATTTTCATCATTTTACACATATAGAAGAATGAATCAAAACCAATTCAATTAGAAAGAAATATGAATTGCCTTATTCAAGGCTCTCCCCCTCGCCCGGCTCATTCTCAATCACGATAGTGGCCTCTTGGAACTTTAGGGCTTTGAATGGGCGAGCTTCGCAAAGGGCTGTCTCGGACTTCATTAAATCCAAGAAAAAGGTTATATGATTTTGCTCCAGGAAACTCAAGTCAAAGAGGACTACATCCATCTGTAAAAAAGCAAAAAAATCCAAATTCTAAAAAGATGCTGGCAGCTGCTATGTTCCTTCGAAAAGTAGAGATGGTGGCTCTTGGATTAATTTAAACAAATAAAAAAAAAATATGGCTGTCCCAACTCACATTGGAACCTAGACCATCACTATAGAATACACTCCCTAGACCACAACTTGGAATGGATGGCTCATAAGTCTATGCTCCAGCATCAGTTTATCACAAGCAAGACCTATTGAGCTTAGATTCATCCATACCGTTTCCAACCTACCTTGGTGCATTAGTGGAAAGTCAAATGAATGCCTTATGCAATCAAATATGAAAGGGGTTCTTACTTTACTGGCCAAAAATAAGAGAAGAGGTATTGAAGATTTCGCGGATCACGTTGCTGATTGTGATTGGGTTGACCTCCCACTCTATGGCGCTTCTTTCACTTGGTCTAACATGAGGAAAGGGAAGGAAATGGAAATCCGATGCAGACTGGATCTTTTCCTAATCTACTCAGATGGGGAAGACCTTCTGCAGGACACTATTCAAAAAGCAGGGACTACATTCGCTTCCGATTTCTTCTTTCTTTTATATTTCGAACAACTTCCCTCCACGGTACCCTTCTCTTTCGAACTGATGTGGTTATCCCTATCGAAATCTAGAACTAAAAGTTGTGAAGCAAAAAAATGCAACATTCTATTGACTTGATAGAATATATTTCTCTATTATTAATACATCCTCAAAAGAGGAAAAGCTCCCTAACCTTAATAATAAAAGAAGGGCTAAAACCCTTAAGATCAATTCGATTTCTATTGTTATTTTTGAATTAGACTGAAGAATCAAACAATCACTTCTACATGTTACCCTTCAAACTGGAGAATGGATATCGATCATTCCCTGTTTGTTTGCGAGTGAGAAGAAAAAGGAGGGCCTTTACCAATCCTTTCGTGAAGAGATCGGCAATTGATCTTCACTTCTAATGGTTAGTGTTCTGATGATTTCGGCAATCACCTTTTCCCCGAGAAAATGCCCTACCTAAGTAAGTAAGGCGACTTCTACATGCTTTGTTCTCTCATAGAAGACCGACTTGGAGGCTATGTGGATAGCATTCTGATTCTCACAGAACATCTGTCATGGGGTTCTGTGACCAAAATACCTATTTCAGTCAGAAGAGATCCAACCCATACAAGTTCACTAGTTGTTGATGCCATTGCATTCGGCTTCAACATTGGATCTAGACCTTATTTATTAAGTATTTCAAAAGAAAGGGCCCGCTTTTCCAGGGAAAAATTGATCCTATATGGTTGGTGGATTTTCTATCAGAGAGAAAGCCTGCATTAATACCTTCCTTCAGCTTTCAGAGGTAGGGGCTGCATATGAATAGGTCCTAAGTAGCCCGGAGCAAGGATCCTTTTGCCAATAAAAGAATGACTTTTTTTATTTTTTAGGGTGGGTCTTTCTTTATATACCAGAGGATCTTTTTTAGTTCATCATAATGTCACTTCTGCAGAGATAGCATAACATACATTGACAACCAATCCCAGCGGAAGACATGTTAGTAGGACGAATGATAGTAAGATAGATGAAACCTCCAACTTATCTTCTGCCCCTCTGTTATCGAAAGGAGGATCATCAAGGAGATCTCAATTCTCTAAAGAGCACTTGTGATTTTGCCCCCTTTTCTAGTTGTAAGGTCTTGTCCACCTTAGGGTTACAGTGAAAATTATCATAATTGCTTATTTAATAATAACTTTGGCTATCTTTCTTCAAGTGAGAAATCGGATCGAGAAAGCATCGCCCAAAGGGGGTTTTTGAAAACCGGTCACCGTTGGCTAAGAACCATTTCTCACTTGTGATGTGAAGCCGCATTTCAAAAATGCAAATATTTTTTTGTGTTCAGTGAGGATATCGAGATTGGGTTAGTTTTTAGTCTATCGCTCCGTGGGTATGAGATGCCAAAGAGAAAAGGAACGAGGAAAAGAATCGACGAAGAAGAGAAGAGAAAATCGTGAATGAAAAAGCGTGAACAGAGTAGAGAGAAAGGCAGATGGATCGGTTTTGGGAGAATTTCACAAATGAGAACGTGCTCATCGGGCTTCGTTATATTCTCATTTTTTTAGGGTTTTATCTGAGTTCATGCAATGGGCTCCTTTTATTGGTCTTAAAAAACAATTGGGGAATG